GCGCGCGGGGCGGCCCCTGGGGGTCCCCGGACGAAAAGTACCCCGGGCGATCCCCGGCAGGGTCGGGTCAGAGATGGTTTTCCTCCTGGGCGCCGCCCCCGTGGCCCTCCAGAGAGCCCCAAGAAGGGCCACGAGGCCGCCAAGAGCCCTCCAAGATGGTTCAAGAGTGCTCCGAGATGCCACACGATCGTTCCAAGACGCCCAAGATGGCCCCCAGACGCCCCAAGAGGCCTCCAAGAGCACTCCCCAGAGGGCCCCAAGAGGCAAAATTCATTACTTTTCCTTAGGTTTTGGGCAGATTTTGGCGTGTCCATCTTTTCGGCTTCCCGACGCCCCAAGACGGCCCAAGAGGCCCCCAAGATCGCCCCAAGAGGGCCCAAGAAGCTCCCAAGAAGGCCCCAAGATGGCCCAAGAGGGCTCCAAGACGGCCCCAGAGGCATCCAAGACGGCCCAAGAGGGGCCCAAGAGGGCCCCAAGCGATGCCCCAAAGGGGGAACACAAAACAAAACTTCGAGCCCTCGGCCTTAAGAAGCCCCCAGGAGGCCTCAAGAGGCCCCTGAGAAGCCCCAAAAGCCCCCAAGAGGCCCTCAGGAGGCCCCCAAGCGACGCTGAAGAGGCCCCCCAGCGGCACCAAGAGGCTCAGTCATGCGAAATGGGCCGGCGGAATGAGCGAAGCGATTCAATAATTTTCACTTCATGAGCGATGGGCTGCTGAGAGCGGTGAGTGCCCCCTTGTCAATGATAAAGTTCACTGCGCTCATTCCTCGGCAAGTTCGATCATCTTGAACCCTATGATCCCTAAGCCGAGCGCTTGGTTCCGCCCGACAGGACATTTCTGCCCGCTGCGCACTGCCTCTAGAAAGGACTGCCGAGCGCTGGCCCAAGACTCGCAGTTTCGATGTGCGCGTGAGCATCTCGCGGCTGGGCCGTTCGAGGGGGCCCAGGACGTGGTCTGGAGACGGGCGGCTCGCGCTGAAATGTCTACCCTTGCTGAGGAGGAGGCGACAACTGTGCAGCTGGAGGTGTACACATGCGCCGACCCTTCGACGTGTGTGAAACGCTTCTCCGTCGTCGTCGTCGTCGTCATCGTCGTCGTCGTCGTCGTCCAGCTCCCTCCCTTTCCCTGGGCCCTCGGGCCCTCCTCCTCTTCCTTCTCCTCCTCCTCCTCCTCCTTCTCCTCCTCCGCCTCCTCTTCAAGCGACCCAGCCAAGCGGAAGTCAATTAACGTTATCATTGATTCGAAGGGAAAACCTTCCCCTTGATCCCTCCCTGCTGGGGGGGGTCCCTTGGGGGTTCCCGGGGGGTCCGGGGGAAGTCCCGGGGGGGGAAGGGGCAGTCCCAGGAGGGACCCCGGGGCCCGTCCGGGGTGGTCCTCGAGGGGTGTCCCGGCGGGAGGTCCCTGGTGGGGTCGCGACCCCCCCCCCGCCGGGCGGTCATGGGAAGGGAGCTCAGGACCCCTCCGGGCCCTGGCCTGGATCCAAGCTCCAGCCCTCAGGCCCCGGCCCCAGCCCTGGCCCTGGCCCTGGCCCTGGCCGCGGCCCCAGCCCTGGCCCCGGCCGCGGCCCCGGCCCCAGCCGCGGCCCCGGCCCTGGCCCCAGCCCAGCAGAGAGCCCACGAGGCTCCCAAGAGAGCCCCGAGAAGGGTTCCAGCGTCAGCGTCGTCGTCGTCGTCGCCGCCGCCGCCGCCGCCGCCACTGCCGCCGCCGCCGCCGTCGCCGTCCCCTTTCACGGTCGGCGGCACCGACCGCAAGCTCTTCCCAATACCTTGAGACGATCGACTTGCAGGATTTGCTGGCTGGGTGCCGACTAATGCATCTCCCGCTGGCTATCGCGAGGTTGCCCGTTACGATGTATCTTCAGGGTCGGTTTATTGCTTTGAGCGGGTTTGTGGACGGGCCATGCTGGGCAGTGCCCGTCCAAACTTGGCTAGCCAAGAGGGGCATCACTGCTGGCTGCGGCTCCACCACGTTTTCGCGGCGCGGCCAGGGGGGAAGTGGCGGGGTTTGTCAGAAAGTGGGGGAGCAGGGGTGGATCTGGACGGGGCGGAAGCTGATGTCCCACTCCATCCTCTCCCCCCACCCTAGAGTGCCAATGCGGGCTCTGGCTGGGTCGCTGTGCGCGCAGTCCCCCCCCCCCGGACCCTGGCGCCCCCCATGGAAAGGCGGCCACGCATGAGGCCATAACACCCTCGTCTGGAGGGTCAATCCAATCTCTTCCCTCCCTCCCTCCCTCCCTCCCCTCCCTCCCTTCCTGGAGAGACCTCCCAGACTGGGTCCGAGCTGATGGAGTCGGGAATGGGAATGGGAATGGGGCGCTCGTGCGGGCAATCGCCCAGGCCCCTTAAGGGCGGAGCGGGCGAGGCCGTGGCCTCGCAGACATGGCCGGCTAGCTGGAAGCTTACTCAGGCGGCCGGCGCCACAGAAGTATCAGGAGTGGAACACGTGACAAATTGCGCCTTCAGTTTAGTCCAAGTTGAATCGTCGGTCGCCAGTTTAAGCCAATCGCTGTTGTTCACGTCGTAGCTGTTCCGGGCGGGTCTCTCTTGCACGCCATGGGATACGAGAAAATCACGCACGTCATCATCCCATCGCTTCTGCTGTCCTCCCGAATTCCTTTTGCCTTTTTGAGAAGCATGGAGGCTCGGGTGCCAGTTGACCACGCATTGAGACCATTCCCGAGGGGACTGCTTCGCCACTCTCGCGGCACATCTCCACACCAATCGCCGTTGCCTCGTATTCCAATCGATCACACTGTGCTTGTGCATGAGGCTTTCTGCTTGTCTTGTCATGCGCTTGATGTATTCGACCCGCGACTCCAAGACAATGCTCTCCGGTGCGACGTTCTCCTCGTTGTCGGTGCTGGGGATGTTAGCCGTGCTGGTGATTGCGTTTGGGTGGATAGATGACGGTCGGTTGCGTTTTGCTTCTCCGTGCGTGTCGTCTTCGTGGGTTTGCGGTTCTGTCGTCGCTTGAGTCGTGCGTTGGTTGGTCGCACTGGATGTCGGTCTCGTGTTGGCGGTGTTGCGTCGTCGTGGGGAGCCGACAACCATTCGTAACATGCGTCATTGGGTGCATCGTAACTGTTGTCGTAAAGGCTCGGTCAGAGTCCAAGCGGCCGCCCCGTATAGTACCGTCGGTGTGACCGTGCCTTCGGAAAGCCGGAGTCGGTGCTTCAAGGGGTAGTGCTTCGCTGTGAGTTCCTCTTTGCGAGCAGTGAAGGCTGCCCAGCCTGCCTTGATCCGGTGTTGCACCTCGGCATGCATGGTGTCTTGGAAGCTGATCTGCTGTCCCAAGTACTTGACTGACCCACTGTGAGGTAAAATCTCGATTTCCATGCTGTTGATGCTCACCTTGTGCTGCCGTGCTCTCCCAGTCCTCTCAGTCAAATTCGTCAGGATCTTCGTCTTGTCCGGGTGGATGTGGAGGCCGTGTTGTTGTGCAGCTGTGGCCATGTGGTCAAGCATTGTCGTCAAGCGCGGTAAGGTGCGGCTCGTCAGAAGGACGTCGTCGGCAAAGCGCAGGTTCAGTCTTTAGTGAAGCCGAGTTGGATGCCGTGGTTGCTCTTTTTCCATGTGTTGACAAGTGGACGCATGATGTGTTCAAGAAGCGCCGCATCGCCGATACATCGGCGACGTCTATGCGAGCGACGAACAAAAAAACTGATCTTACCCGAGATGCTATTGCGACCTTACGCGGCGGCTTACGCGGGCCGCCAGCGCGGCACGCTAGACTGGAAACGAGGGCGCTCACGCGCAACCTTACGCGGGCAGCTTACGCACCAATGTCGGTGAAGACGACCCCATGTTCTTCCGTCGATCATGTGTAGGAAATCGGGCCCCTCATCGAACCGCTTCGTCGATGTATCAGCGATGTGGCGCGATCCTCCGACCCATCTACAGTCAAAATGTGCATGAAGGACGGGTGGTAAGTATGTAAGACCGTTGGAGGCCGAAGTTGGGATTTCTTGGGCGGCGGGCCAGTGAAAACGGCAAAGGGCCGCAGAGGCAATGACACGAGGGCACCCCAGATGAAGGCGCGCGTCGTTACCAGGCGCGTTGACTGCACCTACTCTGACCACTCCTGGGAGGCCTGGGCCCACTCCCTCGCACCCCTGGGGCCCTCCCCCCCCCCCTGCGGAGAAGCTGAAAGAGGTGGAAGCTGGAGTTTCCGTGGAGGCCGAGACCAGAAGCATGCAGCAAGGCAGCCTCATGAACGTTGGCGCAAAATGCGTACTTTCGAAACCAACGTGGATCCGTGTCCGTCTACGTCCTCCTTTCGCTCCTGAGTCCTCCCCTCCTCCCTGTGGAGAAGCTGGAAGTGGAAGCTGGAAGTTCCGTGGAGGTGGACGCTGCCAGGGCCAGAAACATGCAGCAGAACATCGGACGAAACGGGGGCCCGCAACGGCTGGGATGAGGTCGCCCAGAGGCCCTGAGATCCGACGTTGCGAAAACAGGGCAATATCCCTCGGCGGCGAGCCCGGGGGGGAAGTGAGAGAGGGCGGGCCGTCTCAGAAAGCTCGGAAGTCCCCCAGCCTTCTGAGAAGTGTTCTCGGCCTTCCCCGAAGGCACAGAAAACTTCTCAGAAGGCCAGGGGCTGGGCCTCTGAGAAGCCCCGCCGCCTTACGAGAGGGCCTTCTCCTTCTCACTTCCCCCCCTTGACCGCCGCCCAAAAATCTCCGTCTCCGCGGACTCGCGGACCGAGCGCCTTAGGCCGCGGCCCCGCGGATGCGGGGCATTTTTTCGCGAATGCTCCACGCGGAACGACGTCGGCGCTGGCCTCTGACGCCCCATGGATCGTGCAACCTCGCATGATCACGGCCTTCCGATGGGGCCGATCGCTCGCTCTCGGCCGCGGTCGTCGGATCGGGCCCTTCTGAGGGCTCCGCGTGTTGGAACACATCCGCCGCCGCCGCCGCCGACGACGCCGTGACCGTCGTCGCCGGGCCCAGCGGCCGCCTCCCGGGGCCGCGGTCGTCGGATCGGGGCCCCTCTGAGGGCTCCGCGTAGAGGAAGCGGTCGACCCCGGGGAGGCACATCCTGAGGCCGAGGGGCTCGCCGCCCGCCGCGGCGGGGCTGCGCACGTCGAGCCTGCCGGAGCTGCACGCGGGGCTGACGTAGCACCACCCGGCCTCTCGGAGGGGGCTCGGCAGCGATGCCGCTCGGAGGGGGCCTCTCGGAGGTCACGAGGTGGAGACGCCCACGTCGCCACCGCTGGATTCGCCCCGCAGCCCCGGTCAGAACTCACTCTGGGAGAGGTCCGTGGAGCAGCGGTGTCGATTTGGGGCGGCCAGGGGGTCTGAGCTGGATAGCACCACCCAGCCCCTCGGAGGAGAAGGTTATGAGAAACATCCCGGAGGCCTCCGCGCGGCAACTTGAGACCCTCTGTGCGTCGCATTCGCATCGGATTTACGGCGGGTTCACGACGTCGGAGCGTCGCCACCGCTGGGTTCGCCCCACAGCCCTGGTCAGAGCTTATCCTGGGAGAGGTCCGTGGAGCCCAGACATGCGGCGTCGTGATGTTTCCTATGCGCGGTCCCCGGGAAAACCCGACCCTGGCCCCAGCGCCGGTTTGTCACCCCGAGTCGACTTGATGCTCCCACACAGGCTCAACGAGGGCCCCCGGGGGCGGAGGAGGAGGAGGAGGAGGAGAAGGAGGAGAAAGAAGAAAAGGAGGAGGAGGAGGAGGAGGAGAAGAAGAAGGTGAAGGAGGAGAAGGAGGAAAAGAAGGAGAAGGAGGAGGAGGAGGAGGAAGAGGAGGAGGAGGAGAGGGAGGAGGAGGAGAGGGAGGAGGAGGAGGAGGAACAGGAGGCGGAGGAGGAAGAGGAGGAAGGGGGGGAGGAGGAGGAGGAGGAGGAAGAGGAGGAGGAGGAGGAGGAGGAAAAGAAAGCGGCGGAGATTCCCCCCCCTCATGCCCCCCTCCCCCGTCCCGTCCGTCTCCCTTCATAACCGGAGGCCGGAAAATGGCCAATTTCCTACCACCGAGGAGGAGAAGGGGAAGGAGGGCCAGTGCAAGCCCAAGAATCATCAACGATGTTGGAAGAATCCCTCCTTCCAAGCTCCCTCTTCATAGGCCCCATGCAACTGTTCATTTCCACTGAGAGAACTGCCTCGTTGGAAGATATCCGTTCGAAGACCCTGATGCATGCCAAAACATCGTTCTCGGGATTCCAACGCCACGGATCAACCTGACTGTTGCGTCTTGACGATCCTGAACCGCGCCAAAACGCCATTCCTGGAACTTCAACACCGCGAATCACCTTAATTGTTGCACCGGCATAACCCTGAATCCAAAACACCATTGCTAGCACGCTGATCATGAGAGTCCGTGAAATTCTTGCAGCTTTTGAAGAGAAAACACGAATGTGCGCGGCGCTCAGGGGAGGAGGAGGAGGCGGAGGAGGAGGAGCAGGACGAGGAGGAGGAGGAGGAGGAGGAGAAGGAGGAAGAGGAGGAGGAGGAAGGATGAGGAGGAGGCGAAGGAAGATATGGAGGAAGAGGAGGAAGAGGAGAGGAAGTGCGGAGTGAAAAGGGTGGAGGAGGAGGGGGAGCCGAGTAGGCGGAAGGAGGGGGAGGATAAAGGAGAGTATAGGGGGGAGGGGAGGGGAAGTGGAGGCGAGGAGGATAAGGAAGAGGAGGAGAGGATGAGGAGGATGAGGAGAAGGAAGAGTATGAGGAGGAATAGGAGGAGGAGGAGGAAGAGGAGGAGAGGAGGAGGAATAGGAGGAGGAGGGAGGAAGGGGCGGAGGAGGGGGAAGGGAGAACTGCTGTGGTGATTGGGAAAGAAGAGGAGATGAGGATGAGATGAGGATGAGGAATAGGATGAGGAGGAGGAGGAGGAGGCGAGGATGAGGAGGAGGAGGTAGGAGGAGGGGGAGAGGGAAAAAAAAAAAGAGAGAAGGGGAGGAGGAGGAGGAGGGTTTTCAGGAACAGGAAAGTAGGAGGAGGAGGAGAGGAGAGGCGAGGGAGGATGAAGAGGATGAGGAGGAGGGTGAGGAGGGGAATGAGGAAAAGGGGAGGGGGGGGAGGCCGAGGAGGAAGAGGAGGAGGTAGGGAGACGATAGAAAACAGAAAGGAGGAGGAGAGGTGGAGGAGAGGAGGAGGAAGAGTAGGAAGAGAGGAGGAGGAAGAGGAGAGGAGGAGGAGGAAAAGAAGGCGACGAGAGAATGTGAGGGGGAGGCGGAGGAGCGAGGAGTCCGTAGCCATAGGGGGAGGGGAGAAGGAGAAGGAGAAAGGAGAGGAGTTGGGGAGGGGGAGAGGAAGAGGAGGAGAGAGGAGCGAGGGGGAGGGGGAGAGGAGGAGAAGGAGGGAAGGAGGGAGGACGAGGAGGCGGAGTGAGGAGGAGGAAGGAGAGGAAGAGCGGGAGGAGGAAGGAGGAGGAGATCGAGGAGAAGGAGGGAGGAGGAGGAGAGGAGGAGGTGAATGAAAGGATGAGGAGGAGAAGAAGGAGGAGGAGGAGAAGGACCTGAGGATGAGGATTAGGATGATGATGAGGAGGAGGAAGAGGAGGAGGAGGAGGAGGAGGAGGAGGAGGGGGAGGGGGAGGATGACGAGGAGGAGGAGGAGGAAAAACACAGCAGCCCACGAAACCTTGTGGACTGGCACCACCAGCAGTCGCAACGCAAAACAACACAGCCCACACGCAACCAAAACAAAACACTATCCCAAGGAAGCCCATGCCGAAGATACACATCAGCAAGACGACAACGACAATAACGACTGCACCACACCAGAGACCGTACAAGCCACCACCAGCACACCTGGTCGAACTAGCCAATCAAGCTGCACAACAGCCGCCGAACACTCCCAAGACCAACAATACAACAGCATCGCCAAAGACGCCCTCACCTACATTCAACACCGTGATCAAATGGTCGCCAGCGCACATTTTCTTACCGGCATGCCCACCACCGCCTGCACTTAAGATACCCATCGTATACCCACCAGACGAAGACGTCAATTACTCCCAACAATGGATACAAGCGATCTCATGGCGACAACTAGCACCGCAAACACTGGCGACGTGACGCACCTACTTCCCGACGATCGCCGCTCAAGCTATCGCAGCACACCACGAAGCAGCACGACGAGGAGAGCACCAGATACACATCTTCAACCGACGCATCATCGTCATCAACAAGGCTGGAGACCCCACGTTCCAGCAATACATCGACAGGCTACGCATATACCAGGCCCGCTACGAGGTCTACCTCAACAGCGTAAACGAACACACACTTGGAGCGCCATTCGGGGAGCCACCGCTCAACCACATGGTGACGATACACAAGGCCACTCCCAAGTCCAAGCCAACAATCATCACGACGAGTCAGCATACCTTGACATGACGGCCGATCTCGAACAGTTCAGAACGTACTGCAAACTACCGCAACATCCACAACCAATACTCCATGTGGGGCAATTACCGCAGAAGGACCCCTACTGGTAAGAGAGTACGGACAGGCCAGCAGTCAGACCGCCTATACGGACCACTGACCTGCAATACACTCTTCCTCCGTTTCGCCTGCGGCTTTCTGACACGATGGTGGTATCCTATCTCATGCAGATTTGGGGTTATCCTACATAACCAGGGGTAGCAGCCGTAGGATTGCCGTTTCTTTCGCGCATCTTGCTCTCTACACCTCTTCACCTTCTCCTTGGAAGCAGCCTGAACAACATGTCTCCTATATGAATGTTCTTTGCCACTCTGGATTTTGATACAGGCTGCTCCTACCAGCACCCCCAGCAACAACACCTACATTGTCAACATGCTGGGTGGCAATAGGGGAGATGCGACCTCTGCAGGTTTGGGGCTACCCGGTAAAACCCTGGGTAGCGGCCCCAGAATCGCACATTATTGTACATAATTTTGCTCAGCAGATCTCTGCATGTCATTTGTCTGCGCGACCCTTCTTGGCACCTGATATGCAATACGCCTATTCTCTCGTTTTCGCGCGGCTCTTTAACACCATGGTGGTACACTTTCTTCTGCAGGTTTGGGGTGATCCTACAAAACCCTGGGTAGCGGCCCCAGAATAGCACCCTTTGTCTGCGCACTTCACACGTGCTCACTTCTCCTCACACAGTCTCAACCCCGCCCATTTTGCACACCCCAGACATGTTCTGTGGCCAGTCCGCAGCATTGCATGCCAGCCACATGGCCAGCCGACTCCAAAGGCCAGCCTATACGCACAGTCATTCCTTAATAGTACGCCCCGTCACCTTCTCACACATGCAGCCAGCAGCTGGCTGGGTGACAATAGTGGAGATGCGACCTCTGCAGGTTTGGAGTTACCCCACAAAGCCCTGGGTAGCGGACCAAAAATCGCACACACTATCTTACATAAGTCTGCTCCGCATCTCTCAGCATTCCATTTTACTGTACGACCCATCCGAATACCTGATCTGCAATACGCCTATCCTCTCGTTTCCGTGAGGCTCTTTGACACGAGTGTAATGCACTTGTTTCCGCAAGTTTGGGGTTATCCTACAAAACCCTGGGTAACAGCCCACAAACTGCACCTGATCGCGCACTCATCCTCTGACCAGCCTGTAACACTACAGGCGGCCAGCCTATTCCAAAGGCCAGCCGATACGCACATGTATTCCTTAGTCGCACCACGCCCCGTCACCTTCTCACACTTGCAGCCAACATAGTTGCGACCTAGGGTTGGTGCAGCGAATGGACTCTGCATTGCCAACACTCTGAGGAACACCGAAGGTGTGGCCCTCCTTTTACGGCCGCCCATGGCGCGGTTTTAGCAACGCGCGCTAACGATTGACACTTTGAGGGGACCCGGTACGGGTCACCCTCCACCTACCATGCTCTCAAGGGGGCACTTGGGTCCCCGACAGGGATGTATCCCGTTGTGCTGCTACACGCGGCATCATCCACACGTACTTGTCACGCTTAGGCAGTCATGTTTAGCATACCTCTGGCAGGCTACAGGCACCACGCTTTCAACTTGACCTCACCACATGTTTTTCTTCATGCCCGGGCCACTCAGCGAGCACAGATCTTCTCTTCTTTCCTGCCCCAGACGTTTACGTGAGCAACCTGCCCACGTAAACGTGCATGCCGCACCGAATGTACTCGACAGAAGCAGCTTGTACATACATTGGTTTCGTGTGCTTCGTGTTACTCGCAGGTGCTTCTGTTTGATACAAGCTGCTTCTACAAATTGCTCCAGGCTCCGCGCACCTAATGCCATATCATCCACACGTTTTTTGCACACACCAGACCTGTGCACTGGCCAGCCTATATCTACGCAGACCAGCCAGCTCGGATAAGGGAGGTTATGGTATGATGGGAAGGTTGGGCGGACATGTTTGAGTACGTCACCGCATGTACTTGCTGCTCGACGTAGCTCCTTGCACGATTTACGGTTTTCTGCCACCCGAGGAGACACGACCTTTGGATACATAGGGGGCGTATGCTTAACTACACGGGGTGCTTAGTGACTAAGATTAGTGCCTACCTCGATGACCTGGCGGGCGCCTACTCGTCGCACTATGTTTGGCTTCGTCTCTTTCTATTTCAGTTTCCGCGGCGCCCGCCAAGTACCTCTTTGACCCGAGTCGCACCTTATGTCTTCCATGCTGCGCTTCACAAACGCAACAAGCTCGCACCTAATGTCGATATAACGTATCAGGAGGACGGGAAGGAGGAGGAGAAGGAGGAGGCGGAGGAGGAGGAGGAGAAGGAGGAGGAGGAGGAGGAGGAGGAGGAGGGAGGAGAGGAGAAGGGAGGAGGAGGAGGAGGAGGGGAGGAGGAAGAGGAGGAGGAGGAGGGGAGGAGAAGGAGGAAGAGGAGGAGGAGGAGGAGGAGGAGGAGGAGGAGACGGAGGAGGAGCAGGACGA